GTAAGACCCCCAAAATGAGTTAGGGTATCTAGAGCATAAAATTTTCACTATAAGGGTATAAGGTCCTAAAATGGTTTATAATGAGGTATTGAGGCAGTGTATCAGGTCTGAGGTGATTTGGAAGCTAAACGTCAAGGGACGACCAAGACATTCTACGACTAGTCGCCAAAGGGGCCTTAAATGATTTTATGTTTTTTGAATGTTTCATAAGATTATAAAGTATTAAAATTATTTAAAATGATGTTTATAGGATTTATATGGATTTTAATGAGGTTTGGAGGTCACACATCCAAGAACGTTTAAGACGTTTGAAAGTTACCCCTTGAGACATTCATGTGTGTCTTGAGTGTGCCTTGCATGTTTGGATGTGTTTTACGTGTTCATTTTGGGAGAAACTTTCATGGAAGGTATTAAACATGTTAGGGTGTATATTCACATAAAAAATGTTCAGATACGACTTCCAACCTTTAAGAAGGACCCAAAGGCTGTCGAGACACTGCTTTGGCAATGTCAATCGACGAGCTCAATTGACGCATAGTCAGTCCATCGACGCCCCATAAACTTGGGTCTTAGGTTGATACTTAGACTCATGAGCTGAAGAAAACAAGAATCAGCCTCATTCACAATCGATGGAGCACTAGGAAGGGCCGTTGGTCCATCGACGCCCCATCGATTGGTGTCCATAGGTGTTGTCTGCAACTACTGCCTCTATACTATTTTATTTCAGGGGTGAATGGGAAAATCACCCAACGTAATAACCTGACCTTTATAGGTTTATTTGATCATTTTTGGGTGTATTTAAGTGATCAAAACTGTGATCAACCCATTCCTAATTCATTCTATAAAAATTAGACTTTCCCTCCAAAAACAATTCTCTCTAGAAACCTCCCTTGAAGGTGAGGATCAAGAACAACTTGGAGCATGGATTCCTATGGATTATTAATCATGTTTTAGAGGTTTTGTTCTATATAAAGGTATGGTGATCCTTCATCTCTAGTTATCCTTCCATCTAGAGAGTTAATCTCAAAGTTTTCAAAGAGATTTCATGATCAAACTTTTTCTTCTTCAATCTAGCCATGGGTTATTTCTCAAAACTTTTTCAAAGTCTTAATAATGATAATTTGATTATAATGTATTTATTTTAACTTGTATTTCAATCCAATTGCATGATGGATCCATGTCCCTTCGCAAACTCGATTTAGCCCTTGCATGGGCATTGTGATCGTGGCTTGTTATTGGTTGAATTGTGATTCTATTACGTTGAATTGATCATGTATACTTTTATTTAAGTAAATTGATTATGAATTGTTGATTAATGAACCATGTGGATCAATGTATGAAGATTCGAATAAGTCTACCCTATGTCGCTATGTGTTCACTATAACCCTTCCTCGATTATGCATGAATGAGGGATTTGATTGTGTAGGTATAATTGTATCTACTGCCTTACTTGGATGTTATTGATGAATTGTAAATAAGTGATCCATGTGAATCAAGGATTTATTAGCCTATGTTCTTTTATCTTCTATGGATTCCTAATATAGCACGCTCACTGTAATCTTGACTATATGATAATGGTGGTAGGATTTCAATTATTCAAAGATCATTGTAGCTATTGACATAGTTTTATATTGTGGAATAATTGTGGGTATAAATCTTGTATGATCAAAGTAAATAAGGCTTGGTATGAATTGATCTAGGTTCTTCTAGCCTATGGATTGATAATGTAATGTATATGATCTGATCTCAATGCTAGGGTAGATGAAGCATGATTTTGTGTGACTAATGATCTATTTACCCCTACATTTATATTGTTCTTGATGATCAATGTAAGTGAATTTGGTTAAAAATCTCTGTCATGTTACCTTCTAGTATGTTGGTGATGTGTTGTACTAGTTGTAGCTTGGTCTTGTAGTAGCTTATGCATGACTTTATATATGATTATTGTGGTTCAGATACTGCACTATACTTGAATTGTTGATGATAGAGTAGTAATGTTCAACGATGACCAAAGGTTAAAGGATTGGCAAGAATTGCTCTACCCTTCTACTTCTCTACTTATCTGTAGTGTTGTTGATGAAGCCTTTTATTGCTTTGTGTGGTATGGTCCACTTATGGTGGTGGTGTTTACTTTATTTCCCATACATATATGTTATTTGATCATGGCCTTGAAGGCAATTATACTATGAATGTGTGTTGGTGATGAAGCACCCTATGTGAAGCCTATTCCTAGTTTCCTATTCTATCTATGATCTAGGTTGTGTTGCTAATGTCATGATCATGTAAATGGTTATGTTAATTTTATGTGTACTTACTACCTATGATGAGGTCTTATAATGCTATATGTGAAGAAAAGCTAAAATAGGTGCATGAAGACTAGAGCTTACTGTAAGAATGTTGTAAGTCTTGATTAAATGAGTCTTATGCTATGCTAACCATTCTATAATGTTGTGTGATGTATCATTCACTAGGATTACTTGATAGGTGTACTAGTATGGGCAAGGGTAATGGACCTTGTCTATGCATTGCATATGTGTGCATTGATAGGAGAGTTCCTAGGTTGGTCTTCCAAGTACATTCATAGGATATTATGAACATGTTATGAATATGACTTACATGCTATGATTTTAAGTATATGATATGATGAAATATGAATGTGCATGGTATCTTGGTGTGTTTATATGAAAGGATTACTCATATAGTTATACCTATGGACTTGTGCATTGATATATATACATGTGTGACATTTATGTGTTATGTGAAAGGTTTTCTCACATATAAGTACAAACATATACATGTATGAAGATCTAGTCAAGAGGGGGGCCTTGAAATGTGTGCTCATGTGTACCCTAAAACTAGATAGGTGCATGAATATTTTATAAGCATATAAGAATCAATATCCTAAGCCTATGTTTTATGAAGTAAAGTAATAAAGGCTTTCAATAAAAAAAAAAAGGGAACATAGCTTAGCACGTAGTGAACTTGACAATGAGAGGTGTTGGCTTCACATGCAGAAAGATTCACCTTTAGTTTCTCATAGAATGTTAACTTCCCTTGGAGGAAGATTCACCATTGGGTCCCCATAAGGTTTGACTTCCCCTGGAGGAATATTCACCTATGGTTCCACATGAGGTTGTGGCTTCCCTTGAGGAAGGTTCACTCTTGTCTTCTCATGACATGAGGATCCAATTCCAATGAGCATGTAGATGGTCATGTATATCTATTAGTTCCATAAACTATGCTTTCCACATAGGATATATAAAGTGAATTCACTTAGTATTCTAGGATATATGTGTTAATGTTCTACCTTGGCTAGGTAAGAACACCTTCCATTGGTGTAACGCTCTATAACACCAAATTCCATGTTTGGCACCCATGGTCTTAGTGTCGGTTAAGCTATAGTTTTCCTAAAGTAAAATGGACAATGGAAGTAAAGTAAAGACCCTAATTAGGATAACCTAAGAGTAGTAGCTTATTTTAGGTGGGGGTATGAGACTTTACCTATGCACTGCACAAGTTGATCTTGAGAGAAGTGCTAGGAAAGTGTTCTAATACATGTGTATAGATAAATGTTCCTTATGCATGACTTTGTAGTATTTGTATACTTATTATGAAGATGTGCATGGTATGAGTCTATATGATGTGGTCTTATCCTTATGTGCATAAGTGTCTCTTAATGACTATATGATGAAGGTCTTGTTAGCATACAAGAAGTTGTCTATATGTCCCTGTCGATGTATGAAATAGATTTTTAAGGCTTGTGGTCTCATGATAGGTTTACTAAGTATGTGTGAGATTATGGGTATTCACATGTACATTGCACTAGTGGACTTAGATTGAGATTGTGAGTAAGATATTAGAATGTTCTATGTGAAGAAAAATTGGTATATGTGAATAATAAGTAAAGTTCACTGTAATGCCTTATGATCTTGGCTGAAATGTGTATATCATGTACTATACTTCTCATGATAGTACATGATAGGTGGTTATGAAGCTTCACATGTACATTGCACTAGTGTAATTAGATTGGGATTGTGAGTAAGATCTTAGAATGTTCTATGTGAAGTGAAATTGGTACATGTGAATAATAAGTAAAGTTCACTGTAATGCCTTATGATCTCTATTTAAATGTGTGTATCATGTACTATACTTCTATGATGATACATGATGACTTGTGTAAAATGTATGTATGGTTTCCTTGTGGCCTTAAGATGATGCATTGCACCAAGTATCACTAAAGGGTTAATCGGAAGGTTAAGGAATTGAGAAAGAAATGATTCACTGTAAACAAGAATATGCTTACTATAAAGGGAAGATTTTTTACTGTAATGTGACATCAAATATGACTTAATTTCTACGTGTGATCTTATATGATATTTGGAATTTTAGTATGTCTATATGAAGTATGTGACTGATATAAATGTTATTATATAAAGGTTTTATGAAGTTTTCACAAAAAGGCATGCAGTATGATTTCAAGAAAATGTTCCTTTTAAATGCATGTTTTTGCATGATTGTCATACTTAATGCATTCTTGTACTAAATCCATTCATCTCTAATTTTTACACGAAGTGTAGGTTATGGATTCTTAAACAAGGTCTTCAATGTGAAGGGCTTTATATGTGATTCTCAAGATCAAGGAAAGGAGTCCTTAAGACCAAGGATTCCTAAGTCTTGTGTGTACTGTAAAGTGTATAAGTTTAGTTATGTATTATGTTATAAGGGCCGTGTCCCTACTCTTATTATGGTTAGTCTAGGATGGCAAAAAGAGACATATATATATATATATATATATTAAATTATGTTCTAACATATGATGTGCTAAGATAATTTTAAATTTTCCGCTCAAAAATTACCCATGACAATGCGATGAATGATAACTATGAGCTTGTGTAAGACCTCCGTGAGGTCAAGTACGCCATGTTACTTCTAAGGGATGCGCCCGGATGCTACAATTTTTAAAATCCGGGTTGAGGTAGTGGACCTCGTGTAGGCCCTACATCGCAAGGCCAAGTTGGAATCCCTGTGTGATGGCTGCACGTCGAGCAGCAGCCACCAAAATCCTGGCTGTGCAGGCTGCTTTGGCAGCGTTCTCACTCATGTTCGGGTCCTCCCCTAGGACCCTTCCGGTGGTCCTTGGGGTGTCGTGAGTGTACATTTTGACCCTCTATATTATATTTTACCTATTTAAAGTTTTTTTACAGGTTTTGGACTTCATATGACCCTCCCAAACCTTCACCAAACATACAACCTTTAACTAGTTCAATTTCTCTAGTTTCCGGATGTTAAGGTCTTTCTTTAATGCTATGGACCCAATACTTATCAAACATGTTATTTACACTCATATAGGTCTAAAATCATCATTACTTTAAAATATAAGGCTCTAGTACAAGTCATGAAATTTTTGGGGTGCGTCAGAGATGCTAGAACATACTTGCAAATTGTTGCTTTGACGTCCATAGGTTCAAGGAAATGGAGTGTTGTCATATAGTTTGCATCAACACATGAAGTATATGAAAGATGGTGAAGTAGTCAAAATTGATGCAGATATCAATCTGTTCACTGAGACGGAATCATATTTTACATATGTAAAATTCTATCTAGATTTTGGAAGATCAAATATGACGGAACATGCAGAAGACTACTCGATTGATATCAAAGATAGTAAAGTTAAATGGTGCTATCAATATATCTAAGAATTGAAAAAAGGGTTCCATTAGGCTTTCACCATCTATAGGAGACATGCAAACCAATATTGATGATATTCAACCAATGTTTCACTACACTCCATGTGAACGTTGAAAAAAGGGACAACCGACTGCTAGAGGAATGTACTTAACAAGTGCACCCATCGAAAAAAGAATCGAGTCGCACAACATTCCAAGATTTTACAGAGAAAATGATTGTACCAGTTGCACAAGTCATGTCTATAACTTTAGAGCCTTCCAAAGGAAATACCCAAGTTGGTAGGATTAACAAAAACTTTGATAAAAAAAGTCTTCACATTATTAGAAAAATTAGGTTACAACTTCTCAAATCCAACAAAGTTAGGAGAACTCACGGAACAAGTCATTGGTAAAAAATGGGCTTACAAAGCCTCAAATGCGGTTCAGAAAACAAGGGTATGATGTCGCCACTCCTAGGTTTGGGTTAGGATTTAGCTTGCCAGATCCTCTTCGAAGAAGGAAAAAAAATAACTTCATCGCACCACACCTCTATAGAAAAACAAAGGAATTATAAGAGGGTAAAACCAACAAACTTTGGTGTTTGAACACAATGGAAGATTGAAACTCTATGTCTCTGCATTTGAATGATTTAGCTGCAAGGGTGAATGAGGATCCTCTAAACAAGTGGATGGATATCCATTACCTCAAAGAGTTCTATATTTCATCGCTTGGGAACCAAAATAAGGTTATTATCAACAATGAGATTATTGGATCATAAAACCCAAGATTTTTGTGATGTAACTGATGACAAAGAGATCTATAGTGTTTTCCCATCACGTATGAACAAAAAGGATATATTGGCAATCACCACTGATGGTTAATTGAAGGTAAAAAGAAGCACAATTGTTGTCACCAACCATTTTCATGGAGAAACTAAGAAGGAGAAAAATGAAGCCATCACAGTCTTCATAGGAAGTTAGAGGGAAGATTCAAACTTGATATTATAATCCTATCACGTAACAGTGAAGAACGTTTAGACATTGATGATACAAATGATGAAGTCTAAGAAGCTCCCTTCAACTGGAGGATAGAATACAATCAACCATAGATGACCTCAACGAACTAAATCTATACACTATGGAAGATGCACGTCCAATATTCATTAGTGCTCTTCTTAAACAAGAAGAAGAGAGAAAATACTTTAAGTTATTGGTTGAGTATAATTTTTTTCTTGATTTTACAAAGAAATGTCGGGTCTTATTTCAAGGGTAGGTATTCATCATTTTAGGATACAAAAATGGAACACTTCCTATAAAGTAGTTAAAACAAGTGTTTCTCCTTGAGTTGGTAACACAAATTGAAGTGGAAGTCAAAAACCTAATGGAAGATGGATTTATCCAAGAAGTGAAGTACCCATTGTGGATCTCAATATTGTACCTATTAAAAAGAAGAATAGTTAAATATGTGTCTGTGTTGATTTACAAGATATGAACAAGTCATGTCCAAAAGATGACTTCCCTTTGCAAATCATTGAGCTCATGGAAGATGCTACAAATGGGCATGAAGCTCTGTCATTTATGGATGGGTCTTCTAGGATATAATAAAATCAGAATGTCTCTTAAAAGATTAAGAATACACTACCTTCCAAACTCCAAAAGGTATTTATTGTTATAAAGTGATTCCCTTTGGTCTAAAGAATGTTGAGGCCACCTATAAATGTGCAATTCAAAATATATTTCATGACATGCTTTATAAGAGGAGGAAATGTTACACCAATGAATTATTGGTAAAGACGAAGCAAAGGGAACACACCAGTGAAGACATTCTAATTGTTTTTGAAAGGTTAAGAAAATTTTACTTGTACATGAATCCACTCAAATGTGCATTTGGGGTTACCTCAGGAAAGTTTCTTGGCTCCATTGTGCTTAACCATGGATTTAAGTTGATCCCACAAAGGTTGATGCCATTAAAAAAACGTAAGAGCCAAAGAAATTGAGAGATCTCTGCAATCTACACGGAAATTTGGCATTCATTCGGAGACTCATTTCGAACCTGGCTGGACGATGTCAACCCTTCAACCATTTAATGAAAAAAGTTGCTCCTTTCCACTGGAACCAATCATGTCGAAATTCTTTTGAAAGCATCAAAACATACTTGTTTAATTCACATGTATAAGGGGCACCGAATCTACGTGTCTCGATTTGATTTAAAAAAACAAGCAATGTCACAATTGTACTCTTGTTCTTTTTGCAGATTCTAAAATTTGTGTGATGGAATTATTTATGCATTGGACAGTATTATATAGTGATTGTTGAGAAATATTTCTAATCCTTCCATAAGGCATAATAAGGTTAATTTGGAAGAAGAAAATTTGAATTGGGCTGCGATATTCACTATCCATTTTGAAGCTATACCAATATGGAAGGATGGACGAAATAACTAAGGAATGAAAAATATCTTCATTGACCTAGACCAAAGTAAAGATAATATTACTTTTTATTTGTTTCAAAATCTAATCAATCTTCTTGTGTTTTCCCGCACCATGCAAGGAAGATCACACGAAAAAATAATGTTACTACTCACTAGACCCATCTATTTGAAATCAATATAGAGGGTTCACATGGTTGTCGAGCAAGAATGTTTTTTTTGTTAAAAATGAGATCACTACAAACAAATCATTTGTAGAGTGACCTAGTTATAATTCAAGGACAAGAAACAAATACTCTTAAAGTCTCAAAAATGAATCCATGAAGACTTCAACTCTCGTTGTAAAAATTCGGAAAATCTAAACGCTCACAAGTCTAAAAAATGAAAACACATTCATGAGTACTTCAAGTCGTGTCGTCAAAATTCAGCAAGCCTACACGTCGACAAGTCTCGTAGTAAGGGGCATTTGTAGACATAATTTTTATTGGATTAAATTCATATAAATTTTGAATTATATCCATGCTCATTTAGGCTAAAATTATTTTGGGCTTTACAAATAAATAAAGTCATTTAGTCAAATCCATGTTCTATTTCACCTTGAAGCCCAAACTCATGCCACATGTGACAGTGAATAGGCATCCATGACCAATAAGGCGGTGCCACATGTCCAAATGAGGAGGTAGTCACAGTCAAATGCAAGAACCAATCACAATCCACCAAGTATCAAAATAATATCCTTTTTCCAATTACAATTAACCTTGTCACCCCTCTTCAACTATAAATTGGGGATGGACATGATATTCTAGGGCGCATCAAGAGAACTCTTAAACAAGCACTAAACAATTACTTCTTTGATTATCATTATTTGAATTTCTCTTTCATTTCATAGTGTAAAGAAGAAAATTTAAACCTTTCTTGTGGCTATATAATACTTTAAACTATCTTTTTTGGTTATATTGTAATGTAGTTTTGTATTTCAAGAAAAAAATTGGGTCATCTATAGTATATTTTACAAGAATATTAGTGAAACATAACTATATAAATTTATAAAAATAATAAATATAAATTGGTTATTGAAACAAAAAAATGTCTAGAAAAAATATGGTTGAGGAGGACTGAAATATGGGGACTATGTTTATCTAAAAATAATTTCAAAAATCAAATTATAATTAATTTTTTCACTTCCATTGGAGTAAAAGGGTATATGTAAGTGTTCGGAGCAAATTTTCTTAACCGCTAAAAATTTAATGCAAGCAAAATAAATAATATAAAAAATGTAATTTTTATTTGTAAATCATTGTGAGTACAATTCTGTTCTTCTCTTAATTTTTCTCTTAAAACTTATCCAATATTCGAGGGTCTTCAGTAGCGTACTTCCCGAATTGATTGATAATGTTGACCTCCTTGAAATGTAGTCAATCTCCGAAAACATTAAAAAGCACTTTGTCGTTTCACGTCAATCTTCGGGAAGAACTTTGTTGATCAATCATGAAAACATCAATGTAGTTGAAGCTGTAGGAAAAACTGCACTCATGAAAAGAACTTTGTTGATCACTCATAAAAGAGTACTCTTTATGTAGTTAAAAGGGTACTCTTCTTCATTTGAAAGCATGCAATTTACCAAGTTTAAACATCATTATAAAGATAGTGGAAAAGCATGAGTCATAAACATAGTTAATACATATATTATTATAATATAAGAGAAATACTTCATGAATAACCTCAAGCATACTTGTACACTGCATGTATATTACCCCATAAATCTCACCCATGCTAAGTTAACCTCATTTGTCCATCATACATATTTATCATCCTTATGACCTAGAGAACTCATATGAAATACTCTTAAGTAACCATAGTTCAGAATTCATATTCTTGTTGTTCTTGTTGTGGGGATAAGCCTTAAACGACATGAGACCATATGAGCTATACATGATCACCCGGTGTTACCCACACCAAAAAGCGTTGTCCTACTTGCTTAAGGTAATACCATGGTTTGTTATATTAG